CTCCTCCCTCCCCGCCCCCCGTGGAACCGTCCATTGGGGTCCGAGTGCAGACTGTCCTGTGTGTGTGTCCCATCGGTTCCTCTCTGTTCTTGGGCTGCCGGGGGCGGAAGATGACTCCCATCCCGAGGTCGTCTCTGTGCCACCGTTTCCCAGTTCCTCCTTCACATCATTCAGATTTGAAGGCATCAAAGACCACAGTGTGTGTGAGCTCTGAGCTGTGGCTCTAGGACAGTCTTACGTGATCAGGTGTGATCCTGCTTCCCGCCTCTTCCACACCATCCCACGAAGCAACGTGTCCATCATTTCCTTGTGCCCAGTGGGCATCGGCAAAGGGACACGGGTATCCTGGATGCAGTCACACTCTGTCAGGAACCTCAGTTTCCTTTTATTTTCTTTCTTTCTTTTTTTTTTTTTTTGGTTAATCCTCAGCAGAGGATATTTTTCCATTGATTTTTAGAGAAGAGGAAGGGAGAGGGAGAGACAGAGAGAAACATCGATTGGTTGCCTCCTGCACACACCCCAGCCAGGGCCGGGGAATCTGCAACCAAGAATCGAACTCGGGACCCTTCCGTCCACAGGCTGCAGTGATGGCGAACCTATGACACGCGTGTCAGGTGACACGCGAACTCATTTTTTTGGTTGATTTTTCTTTTTAACATGGCATTTAAATATATAAAATAAATATCAAAAATATAAGTCTTTGTTTTACTATGGTTGCAAATATCAAAAAATTTCTATATGTGACACGGCACCAGAGTTAAGTTAGGGTTTTTCAAAATGCTGGCACGCCGAGCTCAAAAGGTTCGCCATCACTGCTCTATCCACTGAGCCAAACTGACTAGGGCAGGAACCTCAACTTTCTATCACTTTTCTAGTTTGTCACTGAAGTGGCCTCCTGGGGATGTCAGGCTTAGCGTAAAGGGTCCGCAGGCACGTGCATCCTACACAAACTCAGCAAAGGCCTCCAGAGGGGCCAGGCTGTGGGGCGGGAGGTGCTTGATGCTCATGGGACATGTACCTAGTGGAGCGATGACAGGGTTTTGTGTCCACGGTGAGGACCTGCGGGTCAAGGGGCGCTCCCAAGGGAGGGCACCAGTGGGTCCCTCTGAAACGCTCACCCAGTCAATGTGTCGGCTGCACCAACTGCCTTCAGGGCCGCATCACTCGAATCTACCACTTGGGCTATGGGCACAATCTTGCTGTGCTGCCCACAGATGACATATCCACATCCAGGCATCCCACACACGTGTCCACACCACACCCGTGTAAAATGGCCACGGCGTGGACATTCACAGCTGGCTCATGGCCCGGAGAGGCTGTGCCCGGCAGGCCTGCCGGGAGCTCCAGCCCCAGCCCCCCAGCCTCTCCGATGGTAGAGGGTCCAGGCTTCCCTCTCCACAGCGAGCTGGGCAGGGCTCCGTGTGGCACTGCATCTCGAGAGCATCCCAGTGTGGACGCTCCTTAAGGCTCCTCTCTGAGGCCCTCGGGGCTCCATCAGTGGGAGCCACGCATGTGGTGGAAAGGACGGACCCTCTCAGGGATGGCCGCACCCAGGACAGAGCGGGAACGTTGCTGAGAAGTATCAGGTGCGTTTGCCGTGTCCAGTGCGCGAAGGACTGACGCTCGGAACTGGTTGCTCTCAGCTTGCAGCTGCAGCCCTGAGCACGCGGACGGCTGTGAGCCGGGCTCGGGCCGCTGTGCCTGCCGGCCCAACTTCCACGGCGACCACTGCGAGGAGTGCGCCCCCGGCTACCACAACTTCCCGCTCTGCTCCCGTGAGTGCCTGCACAAGGGCTCCTCCCCCCTGCCCCCAACACACACACACACAGGCTGGGCTGTGCATTCACGCTCCAGGGCACGGTGGGGGGGTGAGGGAGGGAGGGGGCACAGGAATGGGGTCAGGTGGGTTGTATTTATGTGAAAGTGGTTCTAAATTTTTTAAAAAATTGATGTCAGAGAGGAAGGGAGAGGGGGAGAGAGAGAAACATCAGTGATGAGAGAATCGTTGATCAGCTGCCTCCTGCACGCCCCCTGCTAGGGACCGAGCCTGCAACCTGGGCATGTGCCCTGACTGGGAATTGAACCGTGACCTCCTGGTTTATAGGTCGACGCTGAGCCATTCCAGCCAGGCTGAAAAGTATTTCTAAAAGTTGGAACATGAAGTGTATAAACATATGTTGTGCAGTCTAATTTACCTCCACAGTGTTAGGTTGTACTGTAGACGTTGCCGTCTCCTCAGGTCAAAAGGGTAAATGTTGGCAATTTCAGCGTAACAGTAACCACATGGGGGACGTTCTCGTTAACCTGGAGGAGACCACTGGCTTCCAGGTGGCCGTTTGCACGTGCCGTGTGTCATGTCCTGGGACCAGGAGGATGTGTTTCCACTCTCCCCACGTCCGATAGGCCACGTTATCACAGGCCCCTCACCCCCTACGGTGATCTAAGGGGACATCTAAATATTTTTTAAAATTGACTTCAGAGAAGAAGAGAAGGAGAGGGAGTTAGAAACATCAATGATGAGAATTGATCAGCGGCCTCCTGCACGCCCCCTGCTGGGGATGGAGCCCACAACCTGGGCGTGTGCCCTGACCAGGAATTTAACCGTGACCTCCTGGTCGACGCTCAGCCACTGAGCCACACCGGCTGGGCCGGGGTGATTATTAAACCAGCACTGTTGAGTGCCCTAGTCGGAAGGGCACATTATATGATCATCTTATGTTTAAAGGAACCAATTTAGGCCAGAACACAGCAGGACCACCTCAGGACTTAAGCAACCTAGAATTTGCAATCAGTGGGTAGAGGCTGAGCAGAAATTGTATTTGCCTGTTCAGTGAAAAAAGGAATCTTGAAGTAACGCTACGGTGTAAACAAAATTTGGGAGTGGGGAAGGGGAATCCTGAAAGAAAACATTTTCGAAAAGCTCGTCTCCATTTTACAATAAAGGTGTTGAAGTTTCAGGCCGTCCTTCTTAGACCGAGACTTAGCTACGTGAGCACAAACCATCGGTTTCTGTTCATTAGCAGACACGCCAGACGCCTGGCCAGCTGGTCTCCATGACAAGATGCGTGTTAAATCCAGTGCCTCTTGGCTTCCCCGGCTGCCTGTCAGCACGTTAGGGCTTCTTCCTCGTTCATGCAGTTTAATATTCTACTTCCCTGTCTCCCTAATCCTTCTCTGTAGTTTTTAATAAACTATCTTTCTAGGAATTCCTGTTTTCCCTGTTTCTGCTCCAAGTCCAGAAGACCCAGGAGCTGGAGACATAAAAGGTAACGATGTAATGGCCACGAGAATGCGATGCTCCCTCCTCTTTCTCTACTTCCTGCGCCAAGTTGGGGGCGTGGCAGGTGCCTTGAGGCGGGTCCCATGGGAGCTCTCCTGGTCGTTCCTTTTCTTCTGTGAAATAAGAATCCAGGCCCGAGGCAGAATGAGGGTGGGAGGAGGCCTTGGGGTTGAGGAGGGAGAAGGATGAAGGAGCCGTCCTAGCACATGGGGGAGGGGGTGGGCGTGGGGAGTGTCTCAGTATTGGGCACCGGGGCTCACCGGGATCAGGTGTAGCGCGATCCAGTCCACGTCCTATGCTGTTTCCTGCTTCCGCCCTCCCTCTGCCTCTGGTCAGACGGGGCACCACGTGTCATGTGGAGCGCTGTCTTATGTTTCCGTCAGACACGTGGTCACTGGGGACATCAGCTCTGCCTGACTTGTTTCTAACCCCAGGACCGACCCCAGTCTCGGCCCACAGTGGGTCTGAGCAAGTGCTTCCTCGAATGTTGTTATTGCTGGGATGGGACTGGCCTTGAGCTTTGATTACAAGGCATCTCCTGTCTCCGGTCTCAGGAGTGGTTCAGGTCTCCCCTTTGTCATTCAATCCCCTTTCCTCCCGGAGGAGGAGCGGAGGAGCGGGCTGGGACTCCGGGAAAGAAGTTTAATTGACCTTGAAGGGAAGTGTAGAGTCTGTTACGAAATCTCAGGGAAGCCTTGGAAGGCAGCCTCGCGGGAGAGGGTAACTAGTGCAGTTGGATGGCTCTGGGAAGTGAGGGCAGATGCCGTTCACTCGTTCATTTTAAAGACGCCGGTCTGGGACCCAGCCTGGCAGGGAACGAGAGAAGCACAAACATCTCCACAGCCAAGGACATGCTGGGCTGGGTAGCACCGCACCCTCCCGCCCTGAGGATGTCACTCCTTATGGCCCATGGATGTGTCCATGGCTTCTAACAGTGGTTCTCACACAGGCTGAGCTGCGGAACCCGTGCTTTTCCAAGATATAAATCCCTGTGTGTCACCCCCGATCTCTTTTTTCTTCAATCCTCATCCGAGGATATTTTTTTCATTGATTTTTAGAGAGAGTGGAAGGGAAGAAAGAGGGAGACAGAGATGGGAGGAAGGAAGGAGAGGGAGAGAAAGATGGAAGGGAAGGGGAGGAGGGGGAGAGAGAGAGAAACATCAATTGGTTGCCTCCCGCACACGCCCCTACCAGGGCTGGGATCAAACTTGCAACCGAGGTAGGTGCCCTTGACCGGGAATCAAACCCAAGACCAAGTGTCCGTGGGCCAATGCTCTAATCACTGAGCCAAACCAGCCAGGGCTCACCCCAGATTTTAATCTAGATTTCCAGGGGCGAAGCCCAGGCTGTTGGTTTGAGCAAGTTTCGGATGATTCTGATACATGTCTCTTCCTCTCGTTAGTAAAAGCTCCCGCTCGGCGTTGGCAGGCTTTCCTGTAAAGAGGCCGGTAGGGAATAGTCCAGCTTTGCAGGCGACGGCGCCGTACTCAGCTCTGCTGTTGTAGGAGCAGCAATGGACAGTACGTCGATGCGTGAACCTGGCGATGCTCCCATAGGACTTTTTTTTACTGACACCGGTGGGTCTGGCATCCAGGCCACAGTTCACAGACCTGGAGTGATCACAGAATCCCTGGGTCTGGGATCCCACGCCAGCCAGTTTACCTGGAGGCCCAGTGAGCGGCGGGTTTACCAGGAGGCCCCAGTGGGCGGCCAGCACGGGCACCGCTGCCCTGGAAAACCCACTCACTTAGTCTCAGACACAGGAGCGTTGGAGCAGAAGGACAGAACAGTGTCGCAGACCAGAGCGTTTGCGGGTCTTCGCTGTATTTCATGACCTCGAATATTGTTAGGGTTTTCCAGGTCCAACTGCTTAGTTGTATCCACTGAAGGTTGACTTTAGGAAGTCAGTGTAAATAGACACACCTTCGGGGGCTGCTGTCGGACACAGCAGGGGTCCAACACCCACTCCTGGGGGGCACCAGCCTCCATTACACTCTTCCCTCCAACTTCAAAGGCAGAGCAGTGAAAAGCAGGATCGACAGCTGCAGAGAGACGGCGGGGGGTGGGGTTATGGTGGAGACGGACACCCCAGGTGGTTCTGCAGAGCAGCCCACGTGGCCCGAAGGCTGGCTGTCCTGTGGTTTGGACAAACACCGTGAAAAGGTTCAAGTCCCCAGTCACTTTGCTAGGAGTTCCTTGCAGTGCCCAGGTTTCGAGGTCAGTGGGGATGGGCCTGAGGGTGAGCCCCTGAGGTTGGGGAGCAGCCTGGGTGGGCTGTGCTGGCTGCGTCCCTGCCGGGCTGGGCATCTCATCGGCCGCAGGGCCGGGCAGTCGCTGTTGCCAGGGAGATCGGCCAGATCAGGAGGAAGAGAGGGACCTGCGAATTCTGATATCTCGGTTTTGAAGCTCCGAATAGATGCCAGTAGAATAGAATTTGAGGAACGGTGTTTACGGAAAAGAACTCCAGTCTCACATACTTAGCGTGCTCTGCATTCATATACTTAGCATGTTCTGCATGCATATACTTAGCGTATTCTGCATTCATATACTTAGCGTGTTCTGCATTCATATACTTAGCATGTTCTGCATGCATATACTTAGCATGTTCTGCATGCATATACTTAGCATGCTCTGCATTCATATACTTAGCGTGTTCTGCATTCATATACTTAGCATGTTTTTCATTCATATACTTAGCGTGTCCTTCATTCATATACTTAGCCTATTCTTCATTCATATACTTAGCGTGTTCTGCATTCATATACTTAGCATGTTTTTCATTCATATACTTAGCATGTCCTTCATTAATATACTTAGCCTGTTCTTCATTCATATACTTTGCCTGTTCTTCATTCATATACTTAGCGTGTTCTTTATATACTTAGCGTGTTCTCCATTCATCGCACTCTGACTGGCGCCTACTGAGTACCAGGCATGGACAAGGCCCGTGCGCAGCCCCCTCAAGGTTCTCATCTGTTGGGAGCCTATTAGATTGAAGTTTTACTGTGTAAAGCTCAGATTTGGGGTGGGGGAAGGGGAGGAGTGTCCTCACAGGATTAGACATGACAAGAGTCTAAAAGGTGTTTTGCAAACGGATGCTCCCCCCGCCCCCGGATGCTTCTTAGTGCACCTCTGAGTTTGCCTGAATATTTATTTTCTTTCCCTTGAAGATGTGGTCTCTGGGGTAAGGATGTCGATAAGCCGTGGATAACTCATCATCTGTTTTCCTGACAGAAACCTGAGGGAGGGAGGGACTGGCAGAGGGAAGGAGGAGGGAGACCCCCAAAGCCTCTTCTCCTCCCCAGGCTGTGACTGTGACTTCGAAGGAGTGCTCCCCGAAATCTGTGATGCCCACGGGAGGTGCCTGTGCCGCCCGGGGGTCGAGGGCCCCCGATGTGCCGCCTGCCGCCAGGGTTTCTACTCGTTCCCCATCTGCCAAGGTGAGTGGCCGCGGCCCAGGGATGTCAGTCCCCCCATAATTCATCTCCTCGAAGGGAAGGCAGAGGCTGTTTTGGCAGAGCCGTGTGGCCTGCGTTTATTCCACAGGAACTTCATACTCACACGACAGCCGTGTCAGCATCGTCCTCATGTGAAAGGGAGAGACTGTTGCCCAGAAGCGCAGTGAGAAAAGGGAAAAGTCAGTGGCAGCCTTTTGAGATTAAAGTAAGTAATTTGCCAGACGGGCGTGGCTCAGTGGTGAGCATTGACCTATGAACCAGGAGGTCAGGGTTCCATTCCCTGTCAGGGCACATGCCCAGGTTGTAGGCTCGATCCCCAGTGTGGGGTGTGCAGGAGGCAGCCAATCAGTGATTCTCTCTCATCATTGATGTTTCTCTTTCTCCCTTTCTCTCTGAAATCCATTAAAAAATATTTAAAAAATAATTTAAAAATAGATGTGATCATTGTTCTTGGAATAATAACTCATGCCTATGAATTTATAATGACATTTACATGAACAAATGACCAGTGAAAATGACTGTGGCTTTTAAAAATATTGAGTTTATCTGTATTTTCTAAGAGCAGATTTTTAAAAAATATACATTTTATTGATTTTTTACAGAGAGGAAGGGAGAGGGATAGAGAGTTAGAAACATCGATGAGAGAGAAACATCGATCAGCTGCCCCCTGCACACTCCCCACTGGGGATGTGCCCGCAACCAAGGTCCATGCCCTTGACCGGAATGGAACCTGGGACCTTTCAGTCCGCAGGCTGACGCTCTATCCACTGAGCCACACCGGTCAGGGCTAAGAGCAGATCTTTAATGAAATCACAGTATGATCTCCGCATCAGTAAATTCCTGACTTCCAGACGTGCATGTGAGGGCTGCCCTCGCCCTGGCCATGCCGCCTCTCTGTTCCGCCCCCTCCTCTGGAGGTCAGGCCCGGGCCTGGAGGCGCCGCCTGCGTGCGGGCAGCTGCCAAGAAGGTGGCCTCTGAGCGGAGTTGAGGAGCCGCCAGGTGGGAGGGAGGAGACAGGGCGTCCCGGCAAGTGGGCAGCATCCACCACCCACCACCTCCTCCCGCCCACGGTGTGTGTCCAGAACCTGCCCTGGGAGAGGAAGGGGGAGGGAGAGAGAGAAACATGACGTGAGAGAGAAACATCAATTGGCCGCCTCCCACTTGCACCCGACAGGGAATCAAACCCGCAACTTAGGTAGGTGCCCTGACGGGAATCGAACCCGAGACCCTTCGGTGCTTAGGCCGGAGCTCCAGCCACGGAGCCACCCCCACGGGTGCTTTGTGACCTTTCACAGTTTCCTCCCTGGAGGGCGGCTCTGAGGCCAGTGGCTGGAGCTCAGACGCACTGAGACCTGAACGGGCCGAGCGTCAAGGTCTGACCCATTTTCCAATTTATTGTCTTAGGTGGAGTCGCCTGCTGGGTCTATTGAATTTCAGAACCAAACTAACGGGGACCCCCAAATGCCACATCGGGTGGTTCAGTGTGTTCCAGCCGGGACGTGTGCCCAGGGCGTTGCTCTCTGCTGCTTTAAGATGGTAGAGTCCTTCCAGGAAAGGAGTTGAAACCCTAAGTTGTTCTGCCAACTGCAGTTCTGCACTCGTGGTTTGTTCTAATGTAATTTATTCCAGACTTCGTGTAGTGCAATGCGTATCTTTCTCACTTTAATTTCCACTCCCTCGCGACTCCCCACTTGCTTATAGGTGTGAGTTAGCCTGAGGCTGTGTTGAAGGCTGTCTGTGTGTGTTCATAATCCTAATTGCGTGGCTGTCTGGTCCAGCTCCTTATCGGCAAGCACAGAACACAACCGGGCTTTCTTGGCTAACCTGGTCATTCGGGGGTGACGCTGCCTTTTCCTCCTCCCATGTCCCCCCATCTTTACCTCCTTCCCACTCCTCATCCTGCCTTCCTCTCCTTAAAAAAATACATATATATATATATTTTTAAATTGATTTCAGAGAAAAAGGAAGAAGTAGAAAGAGATAGAAACATCAATGATGAGAGAGAATCATGGGTCAGCTGCCTCCTGCACACCCTACACTGGGGATCGAGCCCACAACCTGGGCATGTGCCCTGACTGGGAATCGAACCCAGGACCTCCTGGTTCATAGGTTGATGCTCACCCACTGAGCCACACCAGCTGGGCATCCTTTTTCTTTGTTTTTCTCGTCCTCCTCATCCTTATGCTGGTACAATTTGCTAGAACATAGGCTCGGAGGGTGGAATTGTGGGCCAAGTGCAGCTGCCCCCAAACCTCAGCCACGTCGACCTGACCCTGGGCCCAGAACGGTCCCCGTTGGAGGTGGCTGTGGCCTTTGGGTATGGGGACAGGTCTTTTCTCAGAAAACTTCTATAAATACGTTGCAGCCCAAGGGTAACCTGTCACCACAGTCCCACAAGTCGGACGCACTCGCGTAGAGAAGAGGCCAGATGCTCCAGCCGATGGCGATGGGGCGGAGGGAAGGGTCTGGCTGGGACTCCTGGGGGGTGAACAGGACCCCGAGGCCTGGGCGGGGGTAGGGGGGAGTCTGAGCCAAATTTGTGCAGTGACGCCATGAACTGGCCCCTTTGTAAGGCAGCTCTGCTGGGGGAGCCTGAGGTGGGTTGAAGAGCCTCTCGGGGTTCTCTGTAGATTGAATCCACCCGGAGCCCGAGAGGTGGGTGGGCGAGTATCATGGATGGACTGTGACTTTGCTGAGGGAGGCGCCCCCTGCTTTTCCAACAGAAGGACACACCCCAGAACCAGGGCCATAGGGCATCCCTGGGACAGTCAGGATGTTCACCTCGCCATGTACTTACTCTCAGAGGGAGAGGGGGTGGTGTTACAGCAACCCTGGCTCCTGCAGCGCGGCAGGTTCAGCAAGAGAGGACGCATTGGCTGATGGTGGGAGGACGTCGTCGTTAAATGCAAGGTTTACAAGGTTCCCCTCGGCCTGTCCTGGGTCCAGGCCTATGCCTGGTGCTGGGAGACACTGGGGCCAGCAGACAAGCTGTCACCTTAGATGTTTGATCGTTCGTTTTAAATCCTCTTTGGGAGTAAACATGCCCTAAAGCAGAAACAATGAGCAGATGAGAAGTAAAACACTGCAGACACGTCCAAGGACCTGGACCAGAACAAAGCGCATTAAATAGTTGTGCAGCCTCATGGTGCTTCCAGGAGTGAGAACAGGGCTGCCAGCGCTGGGGTGGTGGGGGCTTGGCGGTCTTCAGTGGCCGCTGGATTGAGACGAGGGGGAGGTGCCAGGCTGAGCAACTCACAGTTTAGGCTGCGGCTGCGGCTGGCTGGCTGGCGGGAAGCCTGTGTCTTTGTTTCCCTCTCTGGAGTGTAGCTGCACCTCCCCAGCTCCCTGGCCGGCCTCTGAGGCCCTGGGGCCAGCGTGGGTGTTGCCCGCGTATTCCGGCCAGAGCTGCCTGCCCTGAGCCGGGTTCCTCTTGCTCTGTTCAGGGCAGAAACAGCAGACAGAGCCGTCTTCGTCAGCTTCTCAAGAAAAACAACCAGCCTGGCCAGTAGGGCTCAGTGGCTGAGCCTCAACCTATGAACCAGGAGGTCGCGGTTCCATTCCCGGTCAGGGCACAGGCCCGGGTTGCGGGCTCCATCCCCGGTGTGGGGCTCATGCAGGAGGCAGTGATCCATGATTCTCTCCCATCGATGTTTCTCTCTCTCTCCCTCTCCCTTCCTCTCTGAGATCAATAAAAATATATATTTTTAAAAACCCAAACAACAGAACCAGCAGGATGTGTGTGTGTGTATGTGTGTGAGTGTATATGTGTGTAAGTATATGCGTGAGTGTGTGTATATGTGTGTATGCATGTGTATGTGTGAGTGTGTGTATGTGTGAGTGTGTGCGTGTGAGTGCATGTGTGTATGTGTGTGTGAGTGCATGAGTGTGCGTGCGTGCGTGTGAGTGTGTGTATGTGCATGTGTGTGCGTGCATGTGAGTCTGTGTGTATGTGCATGTGTGTGTGTGTGTGTGTGCATACAGAGAGAGTTATTTTAAGGAATTAGCTCACATGATCGTGGGGGCTGGCAAGTCCAAAATCCGCAGGGCAGGCCTGCGGCCAGCGAGACAGAGAAGCGGTAATGTTGCCGCTTAAGTCCCAAGGTGATTTGGAGGAAAAATTCCTTCTTCCTTTGGGACCTCAATCTTTTCTCCTAACGCCTTCCCCTGATTGGATGAGGCCCACCCACACAGTGGAGGGCAATCTGCATTTCCCAAGCCCTGCTTCAGGACCAGCCATCTTGCAGGATGTGAAATTAACAACAAAAACCAAACCCAGGAGTGTTTGCTGAGTGCTCACATCAGACAGGCCTCGCCCAGCTCTTCACGTATGATCTGATTGAATGCTGGCAACAGTCGTGTCCCGCGGACACTGGTCTTACCCCCGCACAGAAGGGAAGCAGAGGCTCTGGGCATTTGGCCACATTGCAGGTTCCAGTCTAACAGGAGGCGGAGCTGGACTGGCACTGGGTCTCCCGGGCCCCACCCCGTGGGTTACCCAGGTCCTGCCCCTGCCGGGGTCTGACTGGCGTCTCTCCCGCAGCCTGCCAGTGCTCTGCCCTCGGCTCCTACCCAACACCCTGTAGCCCAGCGACGGGCCAGTGCGAGTGCCGCCCGGGGATCGCAGGACGGCGCTGTGACCGGTGTCTCTCGGGCGCCCCTGACTTCCCCCACTGCTCAGGTAAGGGGGCGCCAGAACCGTGGGGGGCCCTGTGCTGCCACTCACAGAGCAGCCTGCAGACCCTCACGGCTCACGGCTGTGTGAGACCCACATCTGCCTGCTTCCTCCCCGATTCAGGTCCATTGAAAATGCCTGCAGTTTCAGGCTTGCATTCTCTAAGGACTCAAAAACGGGTTTAATCCTAAAATTTAAAAAAATCCCATGTGTTATAAATTTGTGTTTATTTTTTTTATTTTTGTTAATCCTCACTTGAGGATATTTTTCCATTGCTTTTTAGAGAGAGTGGAAGAGAGGGGGAGAGACACAGAGAAACATCAATTGGTTGCCTCCAGCACGCACCCCAACCAAGCCTGCAACCAAGGTACATGCCCTTGACTGGAATCGAACCTGGGACCCTTCAGTCGGCAGGCCAGCGCTCTATCCACTGAGCCACACTGTCCAGGCTAAATGTGTGTTTCTTGATTCGCATGTAAACTCCCTGGGTGGTGAAGATGGCCCTGAGCCAGGCCCAGTCTCTCCCCCTTCCAGGCATCCGAGCCTCTCTTGGATCCCCCAGGGGTGTCCAGCAGGTCCCCTGTGGGCAGCTGAGCGGGGCCTTTGCTGGGGTTCTGCCCACTCCAGCCTCAGGGGGACCGTGTCATCACACCTCAGCACAGGTGTGAGGGGCAGGGATGGGGGCTGGACCAGAGCTTCTGTGGTTTGGAAAGAGTGAGACGGAGGAAAAGTCGTCATGAGTTGGTGCTCATCCTCGATGGACGCGAGGGAGAGTCTGTGTGCTCCGTGGCCGTAAGATGCCTGCGGAATCTCGGTGCTCCAGGTGCTGCAGCCTCCAGGGCAGGTGGCTCCGACCGAGGCTTCAGGGACCCTCTCTCTGTGGAAAAGAGGTGTTTGTGAAAGGCCGAGTCAGACTTCCCAGGGAGGACGTGGTTCTCACCCGCCCGCGTGGCTCAGGGCCTGAGCGTCGACCTATGAACCAGGAGGTCATGGTTCAATTCCCGGTCAGGGCACATGCCCGGGTTGTGGGCTCGATCCCCAGTGTGGGTCGTGCAGGAGGCAGCCGATCCATGGTTCTCTCTCACTGATGTTCCTATCCCTCTCCCATCCTCTCTGAATTCAATACAAACGTATTTTTAACAAGAGAGAAGGTGGTGTTCTCAGGCCCTCGGCTCCTGATGGCGCTTGGAGCCTCACATTCTGAGCCATCGAAGACAGGGCCACGGCTCCAACTGGACCCAGAGCCTCGCTCACCAGAACCCTCGGACACCAGGGTTTTTGTGGATGGAAATTGTAGCCGCCGTCGGCAGGCATGGCTTGCCTCAGAGAAGGCCTGAAGGGCCTGTGTGCCAGGCTGTCTGGGGCTGGCCGCTCACCTCCATAGGGTCCGGGGGGAAGGGGGTTGTGGGAAGTGCTGAGGCAGCGGGCAGTGGGGCTGGGCAGTGTGGGCAGAGCCAACAAGGAGAACCACAAGGGCGGGAAGACTGTTGACCTTACAGAGGAAGGCGAGGGAGCCTGGAGAGAAAAGGAGATGGAGATGGAGATGGAAAGATAAATAGATGATAGATCAATGGTAGATGGTAGATGATAGATTGATGATAGGTAGATAGATGATAGATCGATGGTAGATGATAGATTGATGATAGATCGATGATAGATCAATGATAGATAGGGAATATCATTAAGGAAGAAGCTGAAACAGAACAAGAGGAGACAAAAAAGGCAAAAAAATATATCTAAGGAACAGCTTGTAAGAAAACAAAATGCTATGGATTTAATTAAACTGTTAGACAAGCACGGCTCAGAGCGGCTCACCCAGCCCTCCATCCTAAAGCTGTACAAGAGTAACACTGAGATTGCACGGTCCCTACTTCCTGGAGCGGTTGTATTGGACTTGTGGTCCTGCATTGACAGGCATCAAAACAAGATAATTCTAGAAACACTGTAGGACACATGAGGGACCAGGGACTGTGACATTTAGGGACCTGAGTCTTGGTTAACAAAAAAATGTACTTACAAATTCTGGAACTTTGTAATTGGACGGTTAAAAAAATCCCTTGGTACAATATCGCCCTCTTCTGGGAAATCCTAAAGATGCTCAAAATTCTAGTGTCGCTCCCCCCAATCTCCTGCATCTTCAGTTAGAAGTGAACTTTTATACATTTTGGATATTAACCCCTTATCAGATATACCATTGGCAAATATCTCCTCCCATTCAGTAGGTTGTCTTTTCATATTGTTGATGGTTGTCTTTGCTGTGCAAAAACTTTTTAGTTTGATGAAGTCCCATTTGTTTATTTTTTCCTTTTGTTTCCCTCAACTGAGGAAATATATCAGAAAAAAATATTGCTAAGAGAAATATCTGAGATTTTACTGCCTACATTTTCTTCTAGGGTTTTATGGTTTCGAGTCTTCCACTTAAGTCTTTTGTTCATTTTGAACTTACTCTTGTATATAGTATAAGTTGGTCTAGTTTCATTGTATTTTTTTGCATGTATCCATCTGTCCAATTTCCCCAGCACCATTAATTGAATAGACTGTCTTTACCCCATTGTATGTTCTTGCCTCCTTTATCAAATATTAATTGACCATAGAGGTGTGGGTTTATTTTTGGGCTCTTTATTCTGTTCATTGATTTCTATGTCTGCTTTTATGCCAATTCTGTGGCCTTGAAGTATAGTTTGATATCAGGTAGCTGGATGCCTTCAGCTTCGTTCTCCTTTATCATGATTGTGGTGACTGTGCGGGGTCTTCTGTGCCCTATGTCCATTGCAGTGTGATTTACAATAGCCTAGATATGGAAGCAATCCAAATGCCCATCAATAGACAAGTGGTAAAAAGCTGTGGTGCAGATATACCATGGAATGAGAAGAATGAAGTCTTAACCATTTGCAACAGTTTGGGATTCCATTTCATGCTTAGATTAAAGCCAGGGCAGGACTCAAAACCACGAAGCGGAAGGTGGCTGAGTGGAGTGACTATTCTTAAATAGAGTGCTGACAATAGGGCCATGTCAGCAATGCCCTGGACACTTGACTCATTTAAAAATCCCCTGATGCTGCACTTTGTCTTGGAGCCGTCACAGACCGGCCATTTTCCTCGGAGGTGGGGGTGTGGATCTGGCTGTTCCTCGGATTCCGGTGAGCGGTCCAGCCCTAGGGTTCGGTGTGCAAGCTGACTCCTGTGAAGCATGCTGGGAAGTGACCCCGTGCAGGGGCCAGTATGGCGCAGTCCCAGCGCTGGGGGCTGCCCCTGGGTCCCCTTGGCCCAAGGACGCTGTCTTATCTCCACAGAATGCCGGTGCCACGTGGCGGGGACGGTGAGCGGAATTGGAGAGTGTGGGCAGGTAACGTGAGCCGATTTACATGGGACGCCAGCAGCAATTTGTGGGGTTTCTGTGGGAGGGTGTCATATTAGCACCTCTGTAATTGTACTGCGTGCAGTCATCTTTTTGGACATTTTTATTTTTTAAAATATAGTTTTATTGATTTCAGAGAGGGAGAGAGAGATGGAAACATCATTGATGAGAGAGAATCACTGATTGGCTGCCTCCTGCCCGCCCCACACTGGGGATCGAGCCCACAACCCAGACCTGTGCCCTGACCAGGAATCAAACTGTGACCTCCTGGTTCATAGGTCGATGCCTCTCCGGCCGGGCCTTTTTGGACATTTTTAGATCCTGACGCATGACTTCGTATGACACATGAGGCCTCGCGGGCGGAAGCCTGAGCACAGTGAATTCTGTCCCCTTCACCCGTGTTGTCGTCCGCTCCTTGTTCTGCAGCGCGACGGGGACTGTCACTGCAAGCCCCACGTCGGGGGCGATTCCTGTGACACGTGCGACGATGGATATTTCGCTCTGGAGAAGGGCAGTTACTTCGGGTGTCAAGGTAAAGACGCCCGCGGCCCTGAGTGAAGCTCGGGTGCTGATGGGCAGACGTCAGGGCAGCCTTTCCTCCGAGTTCCTCTTCCTCCTGCAGGCTCTCCGGGGGTTCGGGCTCAAAACTCCTGTCCAGGGACTTGGGCCGACCTTTCCGTTGAGACTGGTGATAACTGCACGTGGGGTCGCTTCAGCTCCTCTGCTGCCAGCACACTCGGGGTTAATGACAACACACGATGGGGCCGGGCCGGTGTGGCTCAGTGGACAGAGCGTCGGCCTGTGGATTGAGGGTCCTGAGTTGATTCCCAGTCAGGGCACAGGCCCGGGTTGTGGGCTCGATCCCCAGTGTGGGGCGTGCAGGAGGCAGCCGATCCATGATTCTCTCTCATCATGGATGTTTCTATCTTTATCTCTCTCCCTTCCTCTCGAAATCAATACAAATATAATTTAAAAATAAAATAAAAGACATAATTGGGATGAGGGAGTCACTGTAAATAACATCGAGGCTTAGTCGTTTTAAAGATATATTTTGCATGATCAAAAACGCCCACACTGGATTTTTTAGAGACGATATTGTTTTATTTATTTATTTATTTATTTATTTTAAATGCATCTTTATTGTGGAAAGTATCACAGATGTCCCCTCTTTTCCCCCACTACCCTCCCCCCCTTCGCCTTCGCCACTCTGCCGTCTGTGTCCCTGGGCCGTGCATATGTGCATAGGAGTCCCGGTTAATCTCCCCCACGCCGCCCTCCCTCTGACACCCACAGTCTGCTCTGTGCTTCCATGCCTCTGGGTCTCTTTGTTCACGGGGTCACTCTGTTAGCGTCCACACGCGTGAGGTCATGTGACCTTGTCTTTCTCTGACTGGCTTATTCACTCAGCAGGATGCTCTCCGGTCCCTCCAGGCGACTCTGAGCGTTTTATTGTTTCAAACAAGAAAGCTGTGGGAGGGGTTGTCCCTAACCCTCCTCTTGCCTCTGCCACAGCCTCTCCGTTAGCAGAGCTGCTTATGGTAGCACTGAGCTGCTGAATCGTTTTCAGCTCCAGGCTACCTCCCCCTAGTGGGCAGTGGGGGTTGTATCATCTCAGTTTGGGGGTTCATACATATTTCAAACACCTGCCACACACTAGAGAAGCCGGGCAGAGCCGAGGGCCCTGGCGTACGGCTTCCCTCCTAGAAGCAGGGAGGCGTCCGCTCGGAGATGCTCTGAGGGGTGACCCCGCTGTGTCCTGACTTTCAGGGTGTCGGTGTGACGTGGGTGGGGCCGTCACCCCCATGTGCAGCGGGCCCGCCGGGGTGTGTGTGTGCCGGGAACACGTCGTGGGGAAGGCGTGCCAGCGGTGAGTCTCGGAGCTGCTCCCGCGAAGGGCCTTCACACCTGCTCGTGCTGCCAGCTTGTGTCGGGGTGTCACCGTGTGCGTTTGAAGTACTGGAGTCGTGGAACTTCGTGTCAGGATAGTTTTGATCCCTTTCTGTGACGCCATTATTGGACTCTGGAAAGGAATCATTAATAGGCGTGAAGCTTAAGAGAAAACGAGGCATAGAAAGGTCATCCTAGTGATCGTACGTGAGTGTATGTATGTAATTGTAAACCCAGCACGTTCACTACTGTATCTGAGGTCTTAGTAACGGTTCCCGACACAGCGATGTTAATATTTGTGTGAGGAGTGACTACGAGTTTGTGAGTGAATGAATGAAGGAATAAATGAATGGATTTAGGGTAAGTAACCTGATTTGACTTTGCTGAGCTGTGGGTGCCCTTTGAGGACGTTTTGAAGATGCTACCACCATGTGCTGTGCTCAGTGTGCCCTCACCTGACTGCTGGGAGGGCGTGGGTGTGGGTGTGTCGTGTGGGTGTTCGCATGAGTGAAAGCAGGCACTGGGAGAGAAAGCTCGGCCCCCTGTCGGGTGGTGGGGGTGCTGGGCGGCAGCTGTCGGGACCACCGGGTAGTCAGATGGTCTGTGAGCCCAGCCTGCTCCTCCGTGTCTGCTTTTGTCTGTGACAGACCTGAGGACAACCACTACTTCGCGGACTTGCATCACACGAAGTACGAGCTCGAAGACGGCACCACCCCCAGCGGGAGGGACCTGCGCTTCGGGTTTGACCCCCTGGAGTTCCCTGGGTTCAGCTGGAGAGGATACGCCCAGATGACCCCCCTTCAGGTGCGTGGCCCAACCTCACCCAGAGTGTCCTGGGCTCGGGGTGGGGCTGGGTTTTAGCTGGTAAACACATGTATCAGTTCCACAGTTTCTTGTTAGTTTACTTTGGTCACCAAATCAGAAAAGGAGGGGATTAAAGAAAAGGTGCTTCTCTCTGGAGACGTTTTATAGGGAATTTCCCAAACAAGATTAGGCTGTATTTAACAGGAGACATTTTTTCTTTAAGCCAGTTGTGGAAGATAAACACAAGTTGACTTAAATGATTCCAATAAAGCTTATGTTGCTAATTTCTTATTTAATTTTCACTTTTTAAAACTCCGAATTACTATACAAATAGAAGCTAAGGTATGTGAGGCGTTTCCGTCCACGCTACTTCATTTTCCTTCCCCACGTTCCTCCTTCCCTCCCGTCTTCTCCGCTGTGGCCCCCCCCCTCCCCCGCTCTGTGTTGGGATGAAGGAGTTCACACTTCACCCGTAGAACGTAACATTTATAATGAAAACGTTCCGTGCGGTTGCTGAGTGTGTTTGTTCTCAGCATTTCTCTTCGAGGTGGGTCTCCTCACGCTGTGTGTCTCGGGGAGAAACTCAGAATGAAAGAGGCAAACTGATGACCGTGCCAACCAGCCCGTGTCCCTGGCGGACCCAGAACCAGCCGGTCCCTCATTCAGCCCTTAGACAAGCGTGACCGTCAGCCACGGGCACTGACACGGCTCTGCCCGGCCAGGTCCCCGTCCAGCGGCCTTTCCCAGACGGTCCCAGGACCTAGGACGCCTCACTGTTGGCTCCTCCCATTTCTTTACTTCCGATCACTTTGTGATTCAGGAGAAAGCGGGCATTCCCCTGAGTCATAACAGGATGTGAGTGACTGAGCCGCAGGTGTGACGTGTTCACACCAAGGAATGGCTTTCTAGTGGTGAACTCTCGGGAGTGTCTTCATCCGAGGAAGGGGGTGGTGCTCAAATCACCACTGACGTTCCTCTGCTCCGAATCCCTGTTCGCATCATTATTTTCCAACCTGCAACCTGTATTAAAGGTGAAGCAGTCAGATTGAGAGGGTGAGCTGGAGTGCCTCCGTGGGTCACGCAGCTCCGGCTCCCAGAACAGGGATTCCACCCGGACGTTTATGTCACAGATTTCTCGCTCCACCACTGCCCCTTCAAAGATGATTAAAAAATCAAAGGAACCACTGATTTGGAAATGTCCAAGTTCCTTTCTTTCTTTTTTAAAATATGTTTTTATTGATTTCAGAGAGGAAGGGAGAGGGAGAGAGAGAGAGAGAGAGAGAGAGAGAGAAACATCAATGATGAGAATCATTGATCGGCTACCTCCTGCACGCTCCACACTGGGGATCAAGCCCGCAACCCGGGCATGTGCCCTGACCAGGAATCGAACCGTGACCTCCTGGTTCATAGGTTCATGCTCAACCACTGAGCCAGGCTTTATTATTAGTATCATTGTTATTTATCTTTATTGTCGAAAGTATTACAGATGTCCCCATTTTTCCTCTGTTGACCCCCTCGACCCCACTCTCGTCCCCTCCCCAGGCCTTCTCTGCGAGATTGTCTGTCACTGGGCTATGCACATTCATGTAAATTCATTGGCTAATCCCTTTCCGCCCCACCCCCCTTCCCTCTGAGGTTCCACACTCTGTTCTCTGTGTCTATTTTGTTCATTCACATATGAGTGCGATCATGTGGTGCTTGCCTTTCTCTGACTGGCTTATCTCACTCAGCATCATGCTCTCCAGGCCCCTCCATGCCGTCGCACGGGTACGAGATCCTGCCTTTTCACAGCTGCCTGGTGTTCCATGTGTACATGTCCCACAGCTTTTTCACAGCTGCCGATTATCACACGCCTTCCTTGGGCCACAGCTGAATTGGATCACAGTCTGTGGATCAGACGTAAAATAGCCTGGTCTTTCCTTCCCCTCGCGGGCTCAGGGGCACTTCCGTGTGTGAGCACCAGGGCTTGTGGGGTTGGGACACCCCGCCCACATCACCTGAAGGCCCGTGTTCTCCTTGGATGGGGCCTGAGAGTGTTTCCTGTGACTCACTAAGTGCAGTTTAGTTACGTCCAGACTTCCCCTCCCGTGTGTGGGGTCTCTAGCTTTCCTGAGCCGCCCTCGGTTTCTGCGACCGTTTGCGATGTTGTACATGTGAGTGGGCCCTGGAGGGGTCTCTCCGGGGGTTTCATAGCACCCTGTCCTTCACTTCTCCCAGCCGCGTGGCTGCGCGCCTCTGTGGCTTCCTAACCGTCCCTCCACGCTCTCTGCCTGCCGCTTACCGAGGTCAGAGGACCCGAGGGCGTGCCTCTCACGGCTCTTCCTCGTGAGTGACTCCAGTTCCTCGCCAGGCCGCGCATTCCCACCTTCCTCAGGGGTGCAGGCCCTTGCTGAGTGGGTGTGACATGTGTACGTGCACATGCATGTATGCGCACTGTGTGTGAATGTGTGTGAACTACGTGTGGATGTGTGCACACATGTGTGAGTGTGTGTATCTGTGCTTATTGAGTGGATGTGAGTGGTGTATGTGTGCACACTGTAGGTGAATGTGTGTACACAGCATGTTAATGTGTCTGTGTGTACATGGCATGTTCGTGTGTGTACACGGCATGTTCGTGTGTGTACACGGCATGTTCGCGTGTGTACACCAGGAGCCGGTGTGAAGCGTGGATGAAGCCGCTGTTTGGCCAGCATCCCGTCTACACTGTGTGGCCTTGGTGTCTTTCAGAACGAGGTGAGGGTCCTGCTGAACGTGGGGCGGTCGAGCCGCTCTCAGTTCCGTGTTGTTCTGCGATGTGTGAACCCTGGAGCGGAGGCGGTAGCCGGCCTTGTGACTCTTCATCCGTCCGGGGCGGAGGCAGGTGGGTGCATTTTCAGGACCCTTTTTGGTTAAGATGGACCAGGGAAACGTTTTCTCCTCTGTAGACATGCCCGCCTGGCGCTGGCCTGAGCCTGACAACTGAGTGGGTGTGACATGTGTACGTGCACATGCATGTATGCGCACTGTGTGTGAATGTGTGTGAACTACGTGTGGATGTGTGCACACATGTGTGAGTGTGTGTATCTGTGCTTATTGAGTGGATGTGAGTGGTGTATGTGTGCACACTGTAGGTGAATGTGTGTACACAGCATGTTAATGTGTCTGTGTGTACATGGCATGTTCGTGTGTGTACACGGCATGTTCGCGTGTGTACACCAGGAGCCGGTGTGAAGCGTGGATGAAGCCGCTGTTTGGCCAGCGTCCCGTCTACACTGTGTGGCCTTGGTGTCTTTCAGAACGAGGTGAGGGTCCTGCTGAACGTGGGGCGGTCGAGCCGCTCTCAGTTCCGTGTTGTTCTGCGATGTGTGAACCCTGGAGCGGAGGCGGTAGCCGGCCTTGTGACTCTTCATCCGTCCGGGGCGGAGGCAGGTGGGTGCATTTTCAGGACCCTTTTTGGTTAAGAAACGATGGACCAGGGAAACGTTTTCTCCTCTGTAGACATGCCCGCCTGGCGCTGGCCTGAGCCTGACAATGCACGCGGCCGTTCGTTCCTAAGCATCCTGCTTATTGCACTTTGCTGTTACATTGATCATTAGCTGCCATTTACAAATCCATGTAGCAATCTGTGTGCCTGGCTGAACGCCGGGCTCTGACGTTGCCACAGGCAAAGCTAGTTTATAACTCGCTCACAGGAAAGTGTGTGTCGCCTTGCGGTGCTGAGGGACCTTGGCTACCCCCCCCCCCCGAAACAGTCCCCTTGCATCAGGCAAACCAACCAGTTCCCAGAGCTCGGGGTGAGCACAGGAAGCTAAGACAGTGTGTGAGCAGGAAGCTGGGGCTCCGGGAGGAGCGGGGACCTCAGTCAGGGGGAGGGTACCAGGGGCTGGTGTTGGTGTCCAGCCCCAGCAGATCCAGGGGTTCCCAAAGGTGTGGACGGAGTTGGTGAAGAAGGAATGACACGGAGGCAGCGTTCAGTTGATCAGCATAGCCAGGTTCTCTAGCCAGGTTCTCCAATCAGGTTCTGTCTTTATTCTCCTGTTACATCTGTATTTATACCAGTTGATTTTAATCCTATCCATTCTATTACAAAGGTTAGGGCGTTTGTTTTCTCCATTCCAAGGTCACTACTCTATTGTTCTGTTAAACTACAAGGAAGTAACTGAAGGAGATTATCCTAAGTAAAGATTATGTAGCTTAAGCGTGATTGTTCGTAGTTAAAGTGATTAATTACCCGCCTGGCACTTAGTTAAGGGGTTTTATTCCCTTCCTTAGTTCTGTTAATCCCTAACTCCAGGGAAAAATCCCCACCTGGGGAAACAACCTTTCTCAGAGAGGTGACCTTGGTTAAAACACATAGCGCTAAGAAGGGGAGCAAACATATTAAGAACAGTATGCCATATACGCCAGGCCCCTTGAAACATATGCTGTGCAGATGTTTCTCACCTGCAGTGACTGTGTCAAGCAGCAAGGATGGACCGGCTTCTGGCAGGCTGGGAGACGGCGGTGGGAGTGCGGACCTCCCTGGGATCTGTTCTGCGAAGGTCAGGGCTCCTGCCAGACCTGCACACAGACTCCAGGCGGCAGGAGGGCCCGACAGGGACACATAATGGTGCCAGTGGGCCCTGATGCAGAGAGAAGGCTAAGCCCGGCCGGCGTGGCTCCGTGGTTGAGTGTGGACCTATGGACCAGGAGGTCACAGTTCGATGCCCCGTCAGGGCACATGCCCAGGTTGCAGGCTCGCTCCCCAGTGTGGGGCAGCCAGGATAAGCCCTAAAACACGACTTGCCTATCAGCTTACCAGCACGACCCCAAAGGGTGTGCACAGACTCCATTGCTAGGAGGTACAAGCGTAGGGAGTCGGTCAGTCACTACGATGTCCCTATTTTCATTTTCCTTTACGTGATGCTGGTGACACTGAGTGTTTGTTGTGTTGACCTGTTTTCTTTTTCCTTGTGGATTGTAATTACGTTTCTTTTGACAATTAAAAACGGGCCAAGAACCTTTCTAAGCAATTTACCTGTGTTAATATACTCCATCTTTCACAAATTAAAAAGGGACTCGCAATCCCAGCATAGATCGCCACTGCTGATGTCTGTTCAAGGTCTTTCTAGGCTGTTCTTACACATTCATTCATGCAATTAAAGAAGCAAGGTCTGCACGTAGGATCCGTCGTCTACCCTACACGTTTGCGGATGGAAACCGAAGGTGGAAAACTGATTGGCTGCCAGAGCGATGCCCGAGCGACCGTGTTTCTCTCTGACAGATGCTGCTCAGAGCAGAGGGGTCGTCTTCCTGCCCAGCACGGAGCCAGCCTTCATCTCCGTCCCTGGAAGCGGTCCGGCCGACGCGTTCTCACTGGCACCGGGGATGTGGGTGGCCTGCATCAAGGCAGAGGGGGTCCTCCTGGTGAGCAGTCGTTCTTTTCTTTTTTATATGTTTTTATTGGTTTCAGAGAGGAAGGGAGAGGGAGAGAGAAACATCAATGAGGAGAGAATCATGGACCGGCTGCCTCCTGCACGCCCCCCAGTGGGGTTCGAGCCTGCAACCCGGGCATGTGCCCTGACCGGGAACAGAACCGTGACCTCCTGGTTCATAGGTCAACACTCAACCACTGAGCCACGCCGGCCGGGCTGGCTGGTTCCCTTTTAGACACCAATGGTGACGTTTGCCCTCACATGACACAATGACATAGGAGCCAACGTAAGGTACCTCCTATCGTCTTACAGCCGACTTCTCACAGACAAAGCATTTACCGAATTATAACGCGTCAGGATTTGAAGTTTCCTAAATAAATGCAAAACCTTAATGAACATGTGTCCCAGCCTTTCAAAAGGGGAGATAGCTGTAATGCTGTCAACAATAAAAAGTTTATTTAAAAAATTAAAAACAACAAGAGACGGTAAAATCTCCCCTGGATCGGAAGCTGATGAGGTTCGCCCTGCGGCTCTTACCTCCAGCGCTCATGGCCCCGCGGGAGTGACTTTGGGGTGCTGGCGAGTCTGGTGATGCAGCAGCCCGTGGGGAGAGGTCAACTAGTAGCTTCACCGAGTGGTTAAGTCGGCTGTGTGTCGCCTCTTTTATTTCTAAAGCAGGGCCACCAGCAACGGGCGTGATTGCTGTTGGTCTTCATTTCCTAGGACTACCTGGTGCTGCTCCCCAGGGACTACTACGCGGCCCCCTCGCTGCAGCTGCCCGTCACGGAGCCCTGTGCACGCACGGGCCCTCCCCACGAGAAGTTAGTGTCTCGGGTCCTGAGTCGGGGGCTTGCTGCAGGGTGTGCGGTGGCCTCAGGTCTCATCTGCAGCCGGAAGCTCTGACCATTACTTACGGGTGGTTTTTCTCTCTGGAGCAGGCGACCCTCTTCCACGTTAAGAATCACAGAGCACTTTGCACCCCGTAGCTGGTGCTGAAGAGCAGCTCGCACCCTGTAGCTCGTGGAAACGCTGGTGCATGCCCCAGTAACGCCCAAAGTCATGCACCTGTGAGGGGAGGAGCTTAAAATAGAAAGCCGGTGATTCCTCCATGGCTCCCGCCGATGGGAATGCCCTCCTGGTGCCTGTAGTGGGCGCTGTGGTGCTGGAGGAAGGATGGGTGCCTGGATGGATGGGTGTCTGGGTGCGCGGGATGCTCTGTGCTGGGTCTCCGTTGTAACTGCGCATCTTGTCGTCGCAGCTGCCTGCTTTACCAGCAGTTGCCACTGGCCCGCTTCCCCTGCACCCTGGCTTGTGAGGCCACACACTTCCTGCTGGATGGACAGCCAAGACCCGTGGCCCTGAGGCAGCCCAGCCCCGCTCACCCCGTCATGGCAGACCTCGGCGGCCGAGAGGTGGGCAGCCTTTCGTTTGCTGTCAAA